ACATAACTAAGCTCATGACGGCCTCGTATAACCAATATTTAAAAGGTAAATGTCGTAAGGAAATAATTTATTCCGGCACTAATGAATCATTTGGCCTAAATAATTCTCCGACTTAATTTCATAATTAAATTTATATAAGTAAATATGAAAGAGTTAAAAAATCCATCGATGCGTGTTATCATGAGCTGTGTTTGTCCTAGAGAAAATACTAGGTCATAGCATAAAATTATTGTATTTACATTTATAACTTATCTGAAAAGTCAGATTATGTTTACAGACGTCCAGAAGTGGCTGAAAATTGATTCAAAAATGTCAGCTAATAGGGAGTGTGTTTCAATTCAATAGTAAAGAGAAAGTAGGAGTGATCTTTTTAGGGTTCCGTACCTAAAGGGTAACCAACGGGACGCTATTACTAAGCCTCCACTGTCTGTTCGTCCGTTCATCCGTCCGTCCGTTCGTTCGTCCGTTCGTCTGTCTGTCAGCGGGCCGTATCTCATGATCCGTAGTAGGTAGACAGTTGAACTATAAGCCGCTATAACAACAACGACTCGTTGCTACGTTCATACCTCAACACTACTTCTGCTGAAACTCAGTATGTAATTTTTTTTTAAATATAAAATTGAATTGATGAACGAACGTACAGTCCACTTGATATTGTAAAGTGGGTATGGAGAGAGTTATGCTAAGAGTTTCTCTTTTTTTTTATAGAATAAGAATGACAAACGAGATCACAGTCTACCTGATGGTAAGTGGATACTGTGGCCCATGAACATCTACATTTATCCCCCACTTAGGATCAAAATGCAGATACGTGACAGAGCCACGCTGCAGCTCTATTATAGTTCTTACACGAATGACTGGGGAAGGACCACACTCTCACAGAATACCAGCGTAAAATAGCAGAATAATGATAGTACTAGTTACTTACGTGGTAGAACCATGCTGCAGCTATATTAGTAGTATAGTTGTAGCACGAATAGGTCGGCTCGACCGGGGAAGAACCACGCTTTCACAGAATACCGGCGTAAAATAGCAGCTTCATGCTGCTGTGTTTCGTATGGTGAGTGTAGAGAACTGAAGACCCTTTTTACTGGATAAGAGGCATTTTATCTTAGTCCTCACGGGTGACAACGCTTCTGCATTTTGATTCGCAAACGAGGATAAATGTAGATGTCTATGGGCCACAATATCCACTTACCATCAGGTGGACAGTGTGCGCGTTTGTCATCCTATACTATAAAAAAAAGTACTAGAAACGTGTTTTACGATGATACGGAACCCTTCATGCTCGAGTCCGACTCACACTTGGCCGGTTTTTTTATAGAATAAGAGTAACGAGCATACAGTCTTGATGGTAAGTGGATATTGTGGCCCATAGACATCTTTCCTCGATTAATAATAAAAATATGTGTGCGTTTTCACATCTGATGACTAACATGGAGTTCCTCGTTACCAGTTAAAAGGAGTCTTCGGTTCTCTACACCAACCATACGAAACACATCAGTATTAACTTGTTATTTTATGTTGGTATTCTGTGAGAGCGTGGTCCTTTCCCAGTCAAGCTGATCCATTGGTGCTGCAACCATAATATAGCTGCAGCTTGGCTCTACCACGTTCAAATGAATAAAAATTATCTCAGAGTTTGTTTTTTGCGAGTTTTCTCTGCAAAGGTTTAATTTCGAAGCATTATTACATTTTTGAGGAATCAGTACCTATTTTCAATTATTCAACTTTAATACTGCCTTATGGCCTTAATCCACAATTAAAAAAAAAAAAACGTTACCCCCACTCGAGGATTTTCTCCTGTGTCGTGGAGGCAGTTTACAAACATAAATTGCACAACGACAAACATCCAGACCCGGCACAATTATTTGTAGGCAAATACTTGTCCCGTGCGGGATTCGAATCCGCGGGCCCCAGCGTAACAACTCATTGCTAAGCCATTGCGCCACGGACCCGTCAATTAACAATTAATCTTATGTATCTGATATTACAACCTTTTTTATCATTATAAATCATCCCTGCACCGTTATTTTATTTGTCATATCAAAGAATTTGTTTATTGCAGCCATAATTTATTCTATTTATAGCGCAAGTGTTACTAAGGTGGTATCGCGTTTATTAAAACATAATTCGGTACTGGGACTCGACTCGTTGCTCCGTTGAGTCATAGACAATATACGACAGCGGTGATCAATCACGCTCAATTGAGTCTATGGCACAGATCAGGCGTTACGTAATCCACGGATGACAATTCTTCAGAATCATCCTACGGTTTTAGGTAATGCCGCGCGTGGGAGGGATATCGGACTGTGCGACGTCCAATTCAACGTCCGGGGTAGATCGCAACGAAGACAAATGTCTGCTAGTTACCGATATCTTGATATTAATGCACCGAACGTCTGGCCATTCATCCTCCTATATCACGGTACAATCAGAATTCTGTCTGAAACACAGAGATGAATATAAAAGAAGGAATTTTAGTGATGTTAAAAGATTTAACGTTTCTTTTCATAATTGCATTTATTTCATTATAGTAGTGAAGTGTAATAATGATTTCTGATGTTTACGCGAACATTACATTTAATCAACATCATGATACTATAAGTTTATTCTGCGTGGAGCAGACAAAACATTAATAGTTTTAAACTGAAGGCAGTGTTGTTACTGGTAGTGTTGGTACTAGTAATGTTGTTTGATTCTAAATAGGTATACAATCACAGTTAGTTATAACAGTTTAAAGCATAAATATCGTCAGTCTGCAATTGTCAATATCCTCGAGTGGAAAAACATTACTTTGTTTAAATGATCTAACAAATAAACTACGAGATAAGGCCTTAATTATCGGGGGCCATTAATCCGGCAATCGACGATTTCATCGAGAAACTCGACATAGAATGTGCGTAAGTGGATACGTGCCATATGAAAATGTAAGGCTGGTTACATAGTTACCTTTATGTACATGTGTCCTAAGAAAAGAAATATATGACATAAATTTCATTAAATAGGATGTGTAATAGATAATATAAATGCCATGAAAAAAAAATGGATGTTAAAAATTCTTATAAAATGATCTCTAAATTACACGCTTTGCCTAATAATGTAAACGAATATTAAAAAAAGCCATAACGTATAATTGTTACTATTATTTGGATTTCTTAACAAAATAAAAAAAATTATAGAGGTATTCGTAATTTAAACGAGTAAGGAACGTGTGTGTCTGTTATGAGCAGCTTATATTTTCCGTCGTTCCAGATATTTTAAAATTCGAATGTTCCAACATCGCAAGCTGCCGCTCGTATGTCAGCGCCCTTAACAGCGTAATCTGCGTCTATGTTACAGACGGAGACGATTTTATCTGGCCACAGGGGCGTCACGTCACGCGTGCCCGCCTCGCCGAGCTCGTGTAACTTTTTTACTTTCCTCCATGAAAAGAATGGAGTCACTCGATGAGTAAAGTTCGGCGATGTACGATTGGTATTTAAAAAACAAATGAAAAGCATATTTCTATAAACAGATACTTTTATACCAGATTTCTCGTTTTATTTCGAATTTAAGTTCTGATTTTCATCAGTTTAAGGTGTTATAAAATCGTATAGGTGGTAGAGCCATGCTGCAGCTGTATAGTTGTAGCACGAATGGGTCGTCTCGTCAGGGGAACGACCACGCTCTGGCAGAATACTAGCGTAAAATAGCAGCTTAACACTGCTGTGTTTACTATGGTGAGAGTAGAGAACCGGAGATCCTTTTAGGTATTCCATCTTAGTCCTCAGAGGTGACAATGCATCTGCATTTTGATTCGTAATTGAGGAAAGATGATGTAGATGTCTATGGGTCACAGCATCCACTTACTATCAGGTGGACTGTGTGCTCGTTTGTCACATGTATCCTAATAAAATAAATATCTACTTGACACATTTTTAAATCCAATAATAGTTTATAGGAGCAGTTTTCATCTTAATAATCCGTGATGCTTCTGAACAATGACTTAAATACAAAGACATCCCAAGACGCAATTAAAACTGGCCATTCACGAACAATCACTTCGCCGATCTGAAAAATATTTTTTCGCGTTGCACCCAAGATAATGAAAACTGAAGAGGAATCATTAGCGTAGGCTCCCAGACAGACTTCATCGGAGCAAAAAGCACTCGAGTGGCGAACGCATAAATGGAATCAGCCGGTCAATAATGAACCATCGCACATCCGTTTGAATGATGATCGCGCCGATTAGATCCCAACTGAACGAGCCCGATGAATGGCACAGGAAGCCAGCATAAAGCTTGCATACGTCACCGAGTAAAAAACAAATGCTATGGGAATTGACAATTAGATTAAACTACGCCATGAAGTGGAAATCGCGGTCAGGTGTTTGCCTGTCGATGTTTCCACAATTAAACATGTTCTATGTATGTGGTAATCACAAAAACGTAGCCACCGCTGTTACAACACCCAAAACAACATCTGATATACCGTTTTTTTTTTCTTGGTTAAATGACCAATTTTCTTTGTCGGTAATTGTAATCGTAATAAACAAATACAGCTAATGTAACAGTGTTTTTGTATTGAAATACTTTAACAAACTGGGAACGGTATCCAGTGTTATTCATCATCATCATCATCATTACAGCCCTTCACAAGTCCACTGCTGAACATAGGCCTTCCCCAAGGAATGCCACAAAGCACGGTCCTGAGCCACCTGCATCCATCGACTTCCTGCATATCTTACCAGGTCGTCACTCCATCTAGTGGGGGGACGCCCTACACTTCGTCCGCCCGTATGAGGCCGCCACTCGAGAACATTTTTTCCCCATATTTCCCCAGTGATATTACTACAAACTTTTATATTTAATGCTTCTGGTCTGAATTTGGATTCCGGTGTTCATAGGTTGCAGTAGCCACTTAAGATAAGGTCTACTGTTAGCTCTATTGTTAGCTCTATTTCTGATCATTATACGAATCGGTGTCCACTGTATTACTAACAGTCTTATTTGTTACAGAGAGCTACCCTGGCGGAGAAAGAAGTCACCACACTCAAAGAGCAACTCGCCACTACAAGTCCTACACCTTTACAAGCTACAGTGCCACCCAAAACCAATGGCTCTCATATAGAATCCACTAGAGACCAGGCTACAGAGACAAGAATACCAGAAAGACTTAGTCCAGATATTAAAGAAGAAAAGAGAAGGTCGCCTGAGATTGATGACGATATAGAGCACAAAATAGAAATGGCTGCCACGGGACGAAGCAATAGCAACTCCACAAGAAGCAGTCCGGTTGTGAACCAAGGGAGCAACTTGGAGAACGAGCTCGCAGCTAAAGAGAAAGAGGTGAGTGAATAATTCGATACGTAATGCACGCCAATGCATTGATACAAATCTCCCTGTCATTGGTAGCCTCATATAGACAGCAGCCGGTAACTCTGAGGTCACCCGGTTAACTGGACAGAAAATTACAGTTAAAGGATGCAATAGCCTTGTGGTTAACTGGCGTTGCGCCCGCGCAAGCCATCTCGTATCGAATGTAACGTACGATCAATAAATCAATTACATGTGCGGGGGCATCGCTGAATTGGATTTGACAGTTGGCTAGGTCTAGAGACGTGACTGTACTATCGATCCGTCATTCTACTATCGATCTCTTATAATTTCAATAAATTTTTCAGGTCGGTTTTATCGATAAATGACACGTGTTTGGATTATGCGTCAACAAACTTTGATAGGTTTTTATAAATTCCTGTATTTTTTAAACTGATCAGTGCAGTAACACATATACAAAATAAGAGTACATAATGCAAATCTATATTAGAATAAATTAACTTAGTTGTCAATTGTTGTTTTAAAACACTATTGGTAGTGGTAAAATCCTCGTTGTTAATTTTCCACAGGACGTATTTATTACAAGTAGAGTCAGTATTATCGATACATTATCACCATCAGCTGATCAGATCCTAACATCACTAGCGAAGAGAAACAGGATACGTTCAATGGAATGATTGATCGGCACCGAACGGCCGGTAATCCTTGCACTAAATAAATATCACTGTTTACGAGCCGACGCTTAGGCGTACTTCATAAATACCCGTTTCACTAATCTTAATTTGTTCTTCGTTATGGACTGTCGCAGCGTCTATCTTATATATTATAGTTTTATTTAAACGACTCTTATGTTCGTTTTGGAAACTTCTTAAGAAATAAATCACTTTCTGATTACTATTTACATTTACTCATTACTAAACTATTGCGCCACGGAGCTGTCAAAAATGTTCATAAATGTGACGTCTGTAATGCTGGTAGCATAATTTCAAACACTTAACCAGTTCAAGTAAATCGAAATTGATTGCCGCACACAGATCAATCAATCAATATTATCGATACAATCAATTAAGCGACGGCTCCGCCGGAACTCGAACTATACGCGTCAGGTCATGATACAGCATTGTGTCACTTTAGCTATTTATTCGCCTCGGACACCGAAATATTGACGCCCACCGAGATATCCTCAATGATGTCATGGGGATGGAGCGTCTGCTATTATGCTTATTGCTTGATGTTTTGATCACAGTTGTCCAATTTTCTTCACTTATTGAATATCCAAGTGTACCTTTTGTATATGATAGCTCATTGTCGTTTTTCGGTGTTGCCAGTTATAAAAACTAATCATCTATTGCACCTTTTTATAGAAGATAGGAACTCAAACGAACTTCTATGCATGGATACTATGATCTATGATACCTACATCTATCATTAATTAGGAATCAAAATGCAGATGCGTTGACCTCCCTGATCATTAAGACATTCTGCACAGAATGAAACACAACAAGGCACAGCTGTAGACTGCATAAATAGGTGAGACGATGGTAGCTACCCAAACAGACTCATAGACAGAAAAGAAATACAACCATTTAGCAAAACAGCGCTATAGGTGCTTTAGCTTCTTCATAGGTGCATTAGTATTTGTTAGAAGTATTGGGCAATGGTTCACAGCGATCACTTTACTTCACGTGGACTGTGTCTCTTTTATAGAAACAAATTACGTTAAAATTTTCTCCGCAAATAAAAATCTTTTAATTTTAATGCAGCATCGATTTCAATAATACTTAATTCTTTCACAAATTGTAGACCAAATATCTATATTGCACTACAGTAAAGACTATATTTTATAATCGACTGATTACCCCGTAAAGAAATAAAATACTTTCTTGTGTTTCCCCGAGTTTTACAGGGCCGCATTCAAACACAAAAACGTCGAGTTATCCAAAAATCCAATGAAAAGCGGAATCTATAACAAAACGCGGGATCTTCCAATTCACTAGTGTACCACGTAACTCTTCAAATTCGGAGTTTCAATGCACTAATGGGCGGCGCATGAATGGGTGCATTTGCAAGAACACTCTGTACCTGAAACGTAATTCATCTTTCAAATATATCCGCATGCAAATGCCTGATGAGAGAGGCACTTGAATGAGGATCGGTCTTTTTCCTTTTTTATTTCGTTTGCTCTTTGTGAAATAGTTTTTATTATAGCGGCGTGGTCTTACCGCGGAAAGCTTAAAGCGTGCAGTTTGTAATTCAGCTTCTTTATTTTGCGCCTTTTTAGGATATTGTAGTTCAGTGGCGAAAGGAATCAATTAGTTTACATAGGGCGGTGTGTTCGTGTTCTGCAAAACATTATACTGGCCCATAAATTAACAATAACATTATTTTCTAATAGATGCAAATATAAAAATATAAAACATATTTAAATTCCCTTGATTTAATAAATAATTAAATAATGAAAATTTTTTATGCACACTGTTTATAATGTGGTTACGATGCTACCATATGGTATATACCACAAAATACGATTCTAAATGATCATGACTTTCTATAATCAATGCTGATAAAAATTCTTTGAATAAAATTTTACTTTTTTATGCACACTGTTTATAATGTGGTTACGATGCTACCATATGGTATATACCATATATACGATGATGATACCATCGATTTTAGAAGGTTTCTTGTGACTCTGAGAAAAAAAAATATTACATTTATTTATTTTTCTCAAACTTGATACCAGTAAATGCATAATGAAATAATTTAATGAAATAATTTCCTTATAACATTTTATAAACCTAGTGGAAACATAAAATAACTGTGATAAACATTATAAAAGGCTTCTTTAGTTCTGTAATCCGTACTCAGCCGCTTTATATCGCGACGGTGAAACAAATTTAAACGACTGCTGTTAAATTTGGACGATCTGTTCAAAGGTGGTTGAATTCGCGGTACCTACGCTTATTACTATGCAAATTTCGGTTCTAGAAAATGCTCGAAATAAAGTGATTTTTAAATTGAAATTTAAAGATATAAATCGTCAATGGAAATGTCGACTTTGCCTGCAGCGTAATGATAGTCCTTTATTTATAACAGTGAATTTCTATGAACAACAGTTGACTTTCTTGGTTAACAATTTTAAACATCAAAATCGACCATTAAAATTTAGTATTTAAATGAAACTAATAGTACATATATTAATAATTGTAAATTTCCGACGTTTCGAGTACTTTACAGCACCCATAGTTCCAGGTCGGACTAAGGTTTTTGACGTCACAACGTCATATGTTAATTTAAAATAAGTTAATATACACGATAAAATCCAAAACTTAGTATCATTTAAATGTGCACTGTTCGCGTAAACATAAGAAAACAAGAAAATATCATTATTGTGGAACTAAATATATGCCAAAGATACCTAAATATGTCTTTAAATTCAAAACCAGCCGCATAGAAGATTATAAAAGAATGCTTAATTCTGGAATTGCGATATTTAAAAATAATGGTAGAGGACATCTTAAAAAACATTTTCTTTTCCGAACCGACACTAATTCTGTTAAGTTTCGGCGACAAATCATCAAAGCCATCAAGATGAGTCAGTTATGCTTCAACTGTTTTGGAGATATTCCAAAACATATAACTCAGTGATTCCAACGGTGGATTACTAATAATTATTGCTATTTCATGTTCACGACTGAAATAGACTTTTATTAAAGAAAATTCCATCTTTATTTTTGCTATAATTTAGAATGGAAACCAATATACCGCCAAGTTTCAAAACTTATTAACCCTATTGAAAGCGAAGTCATCTCGTGTTTTTTTTTGACGAATTTTTTCGCAGATCTCACTTCATTTTAATTAACTTGGCATAGAAGGGTTGAAATGTTATTTCTTTTTGATGACAGTCGATAAACGATTCGTCCAGTAACAACTTTTCTGATTACGACTTTCCCGAATTGGTTTTGATTTGTGCTTTTTGTTTAAATTTTTCTTTGACGAAAATCAGTCAAAGGACAAAGGTTGTAAGGTATTAAAAACTTTATAAAACTTTTTTTTGATAAATGTGTAGTGAAGGGGAATGATTTTGTTAACATAGTTATTTAAGGTAGGTATATTATGAGAACCTTACCAAGCAAACAGAAATTACATGTATTTTTTACACCTGAGGACACGATAGCAAATGTTAGTAATACTTTATTATACAATTTTTGTAGGTACTTACTAATTTCTAGTTAAACTTTATGTTCTAATACGTCGTAATAATTATATATTTTCTTTTAAACCTAAATTGTGAAACCAAGTATTTTCACCTTTATGCATCTACTAACTAACGATAAAACCAGGGCAACCAATAATTTGCGATATAACCATTAGAACATGCTTAACTCAAAGCGCAGACTGTTGACAGACGTCTTTCTGGCCCTGCCTAAAAAGCGTAAGTTGTTATAAAGTTCTCATAAATGCCTATACCCAGTAGTGAATTAAAACGACAGATGAAGTTTAAGCATCCAAGAAAATATTAAAGATACCCGATAAGCCACCAAAATTTTTACTACATCTTTTTAAAAATTTGTTACGTAAGAAACGTTTATTATAAAAAAAATTATTAAAATCGTGAATATAATATCCTATTTGTTGATTAATTCCACACACATAGATGTATGACGCTTTTGGTATATCTTTTCTCCCTGTTTGTATATCAGTTAAAAATAACACAAAGTTAAGTCAAACGTGTCCAGTCGTTATTGTAACAGGAGCGGCCATTTAATTATCAGACGCAATAATAGCTTGCCCATAAATCATAATACACCTTTCTTTTCAGCTATAAAAGTACCTTTCATCTCACATAGATGGCGCTGCACTAAATCCTCAACTGTAAATTCTTAATGTCACTCCGGAGCGGGACATGAAAGAGTGATGTCGCTATTTTTATATGCACCAAAAGGAAAACACTCGAAATTAGTTTATGACGACTGTCTGTCGTTCGATTTATTTTAATTTTGTTATTTTCG